AGCGCCTCCCGGGCCGCGTGCTCTATGTTGCAACTTTGTGTCGCTCTGGCGGCATCTGGGAGTCTCCAGAAGGCCCCGGGTCCTTGGGAGGCGGCCCCACCTGCCGGACCCTTCCCACAGGTGGGCGCCGGCTCTGCCCGGCGGTGGCCGAGGAGGAAGGACCTACAGGGCCTGTAATCAAGGGGAAGGGAATGTCTTGCGTTTGTAATCCTCGTTTAAACTTTTCAAAATGCTGTAACTTTGGGAAACGAATGCAACTGGAAGTGGGCAAGCATTTTCACCCAAGAGCTTGACTCTTCTTACCTGCCTTGCAGGTTTCTTGGCTGTGGAGGCAGCGGGTTTCCTTTCGTGCTGCAGGACTTCGTTAGGCAGGTTAAGCGGTGAGAATTGGACTCTTTTTCAAGACCCCCATACGGGACAGCGGTGAGGCCGCTTTAAAACTTTAAACCAAACACTGCCTCCTCACGGGAGAGCGCCGTGGGGTTGTCCAAAATGTCTTTTCATCTTTTTCTGGAGGGAAGAGCCTGGTTTACCTTTGTTTAACTATTTCAGTCCTTCACTCAGGCTGTGGATTTGGACTGGGAGGACATTTTGTGGACAGACTTGCCTTTTTTTTTATTTTGGTTGGAAGAACCTAAATTAACAAGTGTGGTTTTTTTTTTTTTTGTAACTATTGTTCAGGATGTGGGTATGGCACATTGGAGCAGGTCCTGTTTAATGACCTCCACTGTGTACTCTTTAATATGGTGTATCAGGTACCAGGTGGCCAGGTGGAGAATTGACTTGTGTGTACCTGAGTACCACAGCATGAACTCTTTGGAGGTTATGCATTTTAGGTAAATAATAGTCCATGCTCTTGAGATAACAAGAATTTGGAAGCAGCTGAAGTAATACTGGGCCACCTTTTTCAAATTCAGGGTTTTTTTTTCCTAAAGGAAAATTTGTACACACTTCACGATAAAACTCATGTAAGTTAAGTTTTCCTTCTAATTTAAAAAAAAGTCCACCTTTACAACTAGGGTCCAATTTTGAACTTGAACATTTCATCTTGGATTGGTTAACTGCTGCCTGGCGTCTGTTCACAAATAAGAGTATAAAGAGAATGACCAAAATACATGACACAGAAATCAATCATTTCATATCATCCGGACCCAGGTGTACATGATTTTCTTTGCCACAGCTTTCCATTTGCTGTTCTTTCACTGGATTCTAGTGTTTTGGGTTATTGAATAACTTTGTCTAAAGAGCCAAAAAATAACTATTTCCCTTTTGTTGGGACTGTAGTTTCAGTTCATGTAAATATTTCCTAACTGTATTTAGAAATCCAAACTTCTCAGAGTTCATGGTATAATAGTCCAGACCCTTATCAGAAGGTTATGTTTTAGTGTTAACTGCTTTTTAGGGAAAAGCTCAGACTTTCACTCCCAAAATTGTCTACCTGTAAAAATTTTGATCCCCAAACATAGAATTATTGTTTTAAGATTCTAAATGTGACCCAGTGCAGAGCTTGCAGTTAAACTAGGCAGCAGTGATGTGCAGAACACACTACTGGCTGTAAAATCAGACAAAGCTGAGTTGTTTCTGGTCACTGGCTAGCTGTGCCCTCAGAGTCTTAGAGGCTCAGTTTCCTGACCTGTGAAATGGGGACAACTAACACTTGTGAAGGGACCTGGTGCATCATCGATAATAATGTAAATTCTCCTTACCACCCTGTAAAGGTGTTTTTTTTACTCTAAGACATTATTTTTTAAATGTTACACTGTGCCTCTGCAAAGACTATTTTCTTAATGATATTACTTTTTGATTGATGGAGTAACTAGTGCATTGGAGGCAGTATTGTGATTTTTCTTCAGTGTGTGTCTGAGCCAGACATTGCTTCATCCATGAACTGAGACTCTACACTGCGGGATCCAAAATGCAGTTACATCGATGTTCTTAAGCACTTTAGACTGTGTTTTGTTAATCCAGAATGTGCTGCTTCCACCAGTGAGTTTTCCCCTCCTTGCTAGACCCGGATCTTGTGCCTGATGTTGGTTTGTGTTGCATCATTGCTGTCACACCATTGCTGCCCTGGGGTCCTCATTGTTCGGGTGCCACTGCTCTTGGGTAGCAGAGACCTGTAGCCTGTGAGACAGGATGCTTTCTTCAGCTATACATACACTTGCTTTTATTCAGCTGATGTTTTGGTTTTAGAGGGGAATAAACAACGTCACTGAGAACTGCAGACCACGCACTGCGATGATCATCTTGAGACACGAGTCTTAACTAGACATGACCTTGTTTATCACTTATTCTGATAGTTATCACCTCCATGAATTATCCTAATAGGAAATATCAGGTATTTATACAGGAGCCAGGAGGAGAATGTTTCATTAAGCTCACCTCCTCCAGACTGCTGGTCATGAAATTAGACTGTAGTTGTGCACATGGGTTTGTGTTGTTTCATTAACTTACCTGCCCACTTGGCTTTCCCCAGTAGTATAGCTTCTCAGAGCACAGGAGAATATGTGTGTGAGTGATTCTTGAGAAAGTTCAGCAGTAGACCATATTCCTGAATATAAAACCAGTGAGCTACAATGTAAAGGTTTCTTCATGTCTGGACGGAATGGCACCACCTGCACGGGCCTGGGGGATGTGGTTATTTGCCTGCCACCAGCAGTGACTCCATTTTTCGGGTTGAAGAATCACTGAATAACTGTTTCATTTTCATTAGAAACCTCTTTGGTTTGGAAATCCAGAGTAATCTTTAGGTTCTATATTGTGTGTGTTTCAAAATGATCAAATCTCCTTAAAGAGATGATACAGGGAAGAAAAGCCTAATGTGTCATTTTAATGGATTCAGTTTTTATCATGCACACATAACCCGGGGCCTGTAACCTAGCAATATGATTAGAGTGTGATGCTGGCTTAAAAAATAGGGACAGTGAATCATAGTCTGTGAATAATAAACATGCTGGTTGGCTCTATTTCCCAGGGGCTGGGGATTTTTGTTTTTCAATCTTTATCTTTACCTATATCTCATGTTGGTTTCAAACTTCCCTGCCTCATGCTCACAGATACTTAAATGAATGCAACAGACCAGATACAGAGTGAGAAAAGTAGAATTAAAAAAATAATCCCAAAGTCCTTGCTTGCATTATTAAAAAAGATTTTTAAATTACTTTTACACAGTCTCGGCACCACTTCTGATTATCTTAGGTTCTTTGTTCACGTAAAAACACGCAGCGAGTAAAACCATGTGTTCTGTATTTTTGTTCAGTTTTTTTTCCCCCATAGAACCTTTCCTATAACCTGTTAGGAAGTGTTTGAGTGCACCACTGTATTTGTCACTTTGAGTAGCACCTTAGTAAATTATCATCCACACAAAAGGCATTTGAGCTTTCTGTGCCCAGCCCTGGATTAGGGACTGGGGTCATAATTGACCAGGGTTGATGTGGTAATAAGCCGTGCTTTACCCTAGTGATCACCCTGCTGGGGTCACCTGGGTTGTTTCGAGTTTTTCTACTATTATAAGAAAAGGTGGATTTTCTCTTTTTTGAATCTTATGTGTTTGGTGCTTTCTGTATGATAACATGGGAAGATTTGAAAAAAAATCTCAAAGTAGAAATGCTATAAAAAAATTTGTTGTAAGAAAGTTAGACAGCATAGTCTAAATTAAAAAAAAAAACACCCACAATAAACCTATACTTATATTACCCAAACATTACCTCTATTAACACTTTCTTTAATTGACGTGTAGTCAGTTTACAATGTTGTGTCAGTTTCTGGTGTACAGCATAATAGTTCAGTTATACATGTACATACATATATATTCCTTTTCATATTCTTTTTCATTATAGGTTACTACAAGATATTGAATATGATTTCCTGTGCTATACAGTATAAACCTGTTTATCTATTTTATGTATAGTAGTATCTGTAAATTTCAAATTCACAATTTATCCCTTCCCACTCCCTTTAACATCTTAACAGCTATATTGACATATAATTCGCATATCATACAATTCACCCACTTAAAATGTACAATTCAGTGGTTTTTAGTATATTCACAGAATTATATAACCATCCCCACAATCAGTTTTATGATATTTTCATCATCACTGAAAGAAACTCTGTATCCATTAGCTGTCATTCCCCATTTCCCAAAAACCTCCCAGTTCCGGTAACCACTGATCAAAATTCTCTCTCTCTAGAGATTTGTCTATTCTGGACATTTTGTATAAATGGAAGCGTATTACGTGTGATTTCTTGTGTCTGGCTTCTTTCACTTAACATAATGCTTTCAAGGTTCATCCGTGTTGTAGCATGTGTCAGTGCTTTGTTCCTTTTTATTGATGAATAATATTCCATTATATGGATATGCCCCACTTTGTTTATCCATTCTTTATCTGATGGACATTTGTGTTGTTTCCCCTTTTTGGCTTTTATATGAATAACACTTCTGTGAATATTTGGGCACAAATTTTTGAATGGCTGTGTATTTTCATTTTTCTTGAGTATATACCGAGGAGTGGGGTTTCTGGGTCATGTGATCTAACATTTTGAGGAACTGTTCTCCAAAGCAGCTGCACTATTTCACATTCCCACCTGCAGTATGGAAGGTTCCAGTTTCTCTACATTCTCACCAGCACTTGATACTGTCTGTCTTTTTGATTATAGTTGTTGTCCTACTGGCTGTGAAGTGCTAACTCCTTATGGTTTTGATTTGCATTTCTCTGATGGTTGATCTACTAATATCTAGAAATAATCCTTCCAGATGTTTTTTTATGTGCACATATTTGCGTAGATGTTTTTCTTCCCCAAACTGGAATACATTATAAATCTTTTTGTGCTAATAAATTTAATTCTACAACATTATTCCCACTGGCTGTGTAATATTTCTCTGAATGGGCATACCATATTTTGACCACTCGACCATTTAGATACTTTTAGGCTGTTTTTAATTTTCATTACTATAAACAGTTATGTTAAACCTTATTGCTAAACTCTTGAACTATCTTAATTGCTTAATTATTTCCTTGGGATAAATTCCTAGAACTGGAATTTCCTGGTCATACGTGCTCTTTTACAGCCCCCAAGCAATACTGAATGTTTTAAAAAGCACAAAACTAACCTTAAATTGGTTTCATGATAGCCATTTTACAGTAAGTATTTTAGCAGGGTGGATTTTAATTCAAGTGAAAATGGAATGTTTAGGTTTTAGTTTGCTTATATTTAGAAGACCTGAATAACCAGAACAGTATCCTTATGACACCTTATGTACCTTGAAGCTACTGGGAGAATGTTTTATTCTAATTTGTTAATAACTTGTTTGCAGGGTCCTCTGGCCTGCAGTGGTTTCAGATCAGCTTTCTAGCAGATGTGGCCCCCGTGAGCACCCTGAAATACCTCGGGATAATTCTGTGAGTTTGGTTTTGAGGGTAGGCCACCCACTACAGACAAGATTCTTTCGATATTGGTTGTGAGGCCATTTAAAATTTTACCTCAAGACTGTTTGTAAATCAAAAGTTGACGCATTGGTTGTCGCTTTTGGAGGCCGCAGTTCTTAAAACGCTCATCTGGTCCATACAGCTGCTTTTCCTAGGAAAATTAAAGTACCACTTGACAATAAAGTGAAATGTTTGGTGGTGTTTTGTTTTGTTTTTCCTACAAACGTACCTGAACTTATTTATCCAAAAGAATGTTGTTTCTTTCAAAACAATCACCCCTTCAGGGTCAATGTTCATGTCAAACAAATCAGTCCTTTTTTTTTTTTTTTTTTTTACTGAAATCAACTTTAAAATGAAAAAACGGGGGCAGGGTATAGCTCAATGTTAGATCACATGCTTAGCATGCACAAGGTCCTGGATTCCATCCCCAGTACTTCCATTAAAAATAAATAATAATAAAATAAATTTTTAAAAAACAAAAAAAGGAACTCTGAAAAAGCAAATATTTATTTTTAAGCCGATTATCCTTACACAACTTAAAACATTTCCCAATTTCTTCCAGTTCTTGCTTGAATATAACTTTGATATGGTCCACGCTGAAGTTTTGATCTAAACTGTTATTACTCAGCTTGATTACACAATTT